AGGAGGAGGAGGAGGAGGAGGAGGAGGGCCAGCCGACAGAATTCACGGATTGTGGTGCTTTTGGAGCAGATCCAACCCCAGGGAGCTTCTGTGCTTTTGAGTCCCGGGGAGGAAAGCCAGCCCCCTGGGGCCTCTGAAGGTTTCCTGCCTACAGAACTGACAGGGACACAGCACGATACAACACAGGACAAGGAATCATGCAGACATCCTCACACACCAGAGACTCCTCTGACTCCAGCTAAACATGGCCACTGTGGAGTCACGACAAGGAAAAAGGGACACCCAGATCTGGGCAGTCAGAGGGGGCCTTAATGCAGCCTCCCGACAAGGAGACGGGGCAGGGGAGAACGGTTCCTGCAGCTGCAGCTCTTCACAAGCTGCAAGGACGGCTTTCAGTTCAAGCATCTGCACCTATGGTTTTTCAGAGCTGCAAGACCGTTGAATGGGTTATTTTTTTTTTTTGCATGTGGAATGTGGAAGCAACACAGGTAAATAAAAGTTTGTGGAATGAGGTAAGCTGATGCTGTCAGAAACGACTGCAATTGCGGAAAGATTTAGACCTTAAGAACTCAACATGACATTTGTTATGTCGAGAAATGTTGTCTGGTTTCATTCAGGAACTAACCCTTTCGGGGGAATAAATGCCAGTTCATGAGAAGCACAGGCGCGTGCACACACACGCACACACTCTCTCTCCAGAGGTCTATAAAGTTCCATAGGGCTCTATTGAGATCGGCAGTGTATGTCCGGGAGGGCAGGAGGGGCACACTCAGGCATCAGAATCTCTGAATTTAGACAGCAGCAGATCCCCGGCCCTGGGGGACAAAGAGGGATCCACGTTCTGTTGTTGGAGGAAAGGCCAGGAAGCTGCAGAAAGGCTGGCGCGAAGCATTTACCTTGTTGTCTTTGACATAAAGTGCCAACATCTCTTCTCGACCGTATCGGTATTCGGCTAGTTTGTACTTTGGCATGGCCGGCGAGGGTGGGGGGGAAGCAACACTCCCGCCGCTGGAGAGAGCACGAAGCCTGGGAGGAAGAAGACCACGGAGAACAACAGGCTAGAGGGGCAGGCCCATCGAGGAAAGGGAAGAGGCGCCACTCCCTTCCTCGCCAGCCCACTCGAGACACGGAACTGCCCGCTGGAAGGAAGACAAGCCAAGCATGCAGTGCTGCCAAACAGGAGCTCTGAGATCTCAAACATGAGGTGAAAAGCTGAGCAGAACGTCAGGGCAGTCAGAAGGGGGGCCTTGAGATCTGGGCTCCTCATTGCTCCCAGGAATCTAAGTCTCCCCACCCTCCTCACAAAAAACCCCAAACAGCATTAGAGATGAAACCCTTGACGAAGGTTTGTTTACAAAAAATGTGAACGGCGTTATGCGAGACGAGAGAGACACTAAAGTCTCATCCCAAACGAAACTGATACTCAGCAGACAGATCCAGCAAGGATGAAAAGAGATCTCAAAAAAGACCCTTTATTGTGCGGCTCCATCAAGAATCTTCCCTTTTGCTAACCAAACAACAACACAAAAAACAAACATCTTCCAGGTTCTGGGTGAAGGGGCAATAATGACGGAACTCCCCACCACAAGATGGACAGTCACCCTAGCCAGGGAAACAGCAGTGGCTTTCTCTGGCAACCCCAGGCAGCCTTCCTTTCCAGAAGGCGGGGGGGGGGGGGCCCTCACCAAGGAATGGATAATGAACCCCCTCTTCGGCATCAAAGGGAGCCTCCTTCTCCCCCAGACGAGCTCTCCGCTCCTCTCCCCCCCCCAGACGCACTCACCACTCTGGCCCAAAGTTCAGTGTCTCAGCTGCCATCCTACTATTCCTTAGCAGCTCGGCCCTCCGCGCACCCTCACTTGCTCGCTCGCTCGCTCCTCTTCGGCATCAAAGGGAGCCTCCTTCTCCCCCAGACGAGCTCTCCGCTCCTCTCCGCCCCCCCAGACGCACTCACCACTCTGGCCCAAAGTTCAGTGTCTCAGCTGCCATCCTACTATGCCTTAGCAGCTCGGCCCTGCGCGCACCCTCACTTGCTCGCTCGCTCGCTCTCACTGGTTATGACCTTCTTCTTCTTCCTTGCCTTCTCCAACAACTGTGGACAGGGAGGGAGAGAGAATGGAGTCAAAGGCACCACCGGCCGAGGGGGGGGGAAACACTCTCCAAGCACAACACTAATCTCCAAAACCCCCATTTAGTGGGGGGCAAAGGAGCCAGAAAGGACCAGAAGGTCACCCACTTCTAGCACCATTTGTGTTAAAATGGGGAAGGTGGGAAGATATTTATTAGGAAGGCACCCATCAGAAGAACAGTTCAGGTGGGGAGGGGGGGAAGGCTCAGGGGAACTATAGACGTAGCGCCAGGACACATACAGGACTTCCACCCCAGTTCTGGTGGATCCAAGACCCCCAGGTCTTGCCAGGTAAGGTGGAAGTTCAGGCCCAGAAGGGACGGAGGAGATCTGGGCCCTTTCCCCTCCCACCTGGCCACCTGGCCCTTCCCAAGATACCTGGAAGAATCTGCCCTGGATCGTGCCCTTCTGTCGGGAGGCGGACCGACTGCAATGCCTGGGAACCTGCAGAAGAGAGAGGAACAGAACATTACGAGGGCCAAGATGTCATGCGGAAAACATACTGAAGCACATGGGCTGGGGAAGAGAGGAGGAACAGTGCTCATTCCAAACAGGAGCTTCATCCCCAGAAAACCAAACGGGACAAGAAGCAGGGGAACTGCAGCCGACTCAGTGAAGGCTCTTTTACACTTGTCCAAGTTGGTGGTCTCCTTCTCAAGCCAAAGGAGGCATGGAGAAAACAGGGGGCCCTGGCTTCCCAGTCCTGTTTGGCACCAGGCTAAGCATAACATCTATACGCTCTTTGCAGCCACACCACATCAGCGGATCTTTGGGACAGCTGCAAAAAAGGAATACATTTTCAATCACGCCTTTCCCTCCCATTTTCAGTATTGTTTTTTAAGTTTGTGCAACACTTCTATGTTTATATGTCAGCTGCTTTGACTGAAGCTTATCCAGAGCGTGGAAACAACGCTGTGAATCCTGTCAGAAGAACAAGGAGCATAACTGCGCATGTAGCTATCTCTGGTGCACTCTGAACACCTCCTAGTCAGGCACCAGTTGCAAAACTGAGCACGCAACTGATCGTCTGCGGGACAGTCCAAGGGAGGGAGGACGCCACCGTGCAATGCCTTCACCACCACCGTTTTTTTGGCAACATGATTTTGGCCTACATTTGGGCGGGGTGGCAGCGCAATTGGATCATTCTAGTTTGATGCCAAGACAAAGACTCTGTCACAGCAGCCAGGTTTCCAATCCGCAGCCAGAGGGCTACAACTGAACAAGCTCTCTCCGGAGTCTTCCCCTTATGGGTTGCTCTCAATTGGNACAAGGAAAGGCTTCCCCTGCAAGTCTTCACAACTATAGAAGCAGGCATGGGAAAGAGAAGTGGCCCCCAAACAACCAGCATCACTGGCCCTTTAAGGCTTCAAAAATCATGGTCAAATCCATGAACGTGGAAAGGAAGGGAACTAGCTATTCCGTGCTATCCTTTCAGAAGCAGGGTCTTAGGCCCCCTCAAAAGGTGTTTCTGCCAGAGGTCAACAGCTGTCTATTGCACCCACTAACAAACACCCGGGGCACATTCAAGGACAGATGGATGCAGGGGCAGAGCCGTCATCTGAACAAGAGGCCATCAGCATGTGTGAACTGTGGCCACATAGTCCCTGCGACAGACATCACGTGCTGCCCAGTCCACCTGGGCCCTCAGGGGCAGAGAGAGAGAGAGAGAGAGAACCCACAGGGTGGAAGGTGGGTGCCCGCAAAGCCCCCCTTTCAGAACCTCTTTGTCTGCAATCTCTCCTCTATTCATCTGCCCAGGAACAAACTCCACTCAGCTGGCGCTTTCGCCTAAGAAAATATCCAGATAATAAACAATTTATTGGCAAAAGGGAAACATCTCCCAGGCATCCCCAGTTAATAAGGAAGGAGAGAGGCAAAAAAAAAAAAAAAAAACAAACCCTGTTATTTGAAAAAGACAAACAGACAGAAACCAGGGCTTGAAAGTAAGCGGCTCTAAGTTAGGTACAGGCCTAACTTACTCGTTAAGTTCGTTTCTCTACCAAAAGGTAAAAACAACAAGACGTGATCCATTGGCACTCCCTCCCCAGAGACCGGAGGGCTCTCTGCATCCCCACGTCATAGTTTTCAGGGGCCATGTCTGCCATTCTGGCATTCCTATAGCTCAGTTCTGTAGAGCGAGAGGAGCATGGGGAGATGGGACGCCCACCCCCTAGTCCTTGCAGGAGCGCCCGCTAACTGTTTTCTGTGGGGAAGACTGGAGCTTAAGTCTGCTGCAGACAAGACAAGTCTCTTGGCACCTTCAAGACACCTTCACGGACCGGAGTCCAAATTGGGGCAGCTCTTTAACCTCACAATGCAAGTTAACCTGCTCACCTGTTCAGAGAGGCCAAGACCTCTGGCAAATTTTGCTCGTTTAAAGGACCGCTCTTTAACGCTTGTATAATGCTTAGCCTCTTTTCTCTGTCCATAAGATATTGAACCTCTCTCTCCCTTCCTGCTCTTTTGATTACAATCCCACACCAACAGTGTTTATCTAGAGATCACACCCTTGCCCTTGGTCTACTGCTCACACTCAGCTGAAGACCGATCATCACACACCTGGTGGCGCTTGTGAAAACAACAAGAACATTAAGACCATCACCAATGCTTCTCCTTTTGGCATTTCTTTCCCCAAAACTCCTCGCTTTGGTCAGTTGCACAAAGGACTGTCAGCCTCCGTGCCTTTGTGAGATGCACACGTGCCTCTTTTTTTATCCGGGCTGGATAATGAACCCCCTCTTCGGCATCAAAGGGAGCCTCCTTCTCCCCCAGACGAGCTCTCCGCTCCTCTCCGCCCCCCCAGACGCACTCACCACTCTGGCCCAAAGTTCAGTGTCTCAGCTGCCATCCTACTATGCCTTAGCAGCTCGGCCCTGCGCGCACCCTCACTTGCTCGCTCGCTCGCTCTCACTGGTTATGACCTTCTTCTTCTTCCTTGCCTTCTCCAACAACTGTGGACAGGGAGGGAGAGAGAATGGAGTCAAAGGCACCACCGGCCGAGGGGGGGGGAAACACTCTCCAAGCACAACACTAATCTCCAAAACCCCCATTTAGTGGGGGGCAAAGGAGCCAGAAAGGACCAGAAGGTCACCCACTTCTAGCACCATTTGTGTTAAAATGGGGAAGGTGGGAAGATATTTATTAGGAAGGCACCCATCAGAAGAACAGTTCAGGTGGGGAGGGGGGGAAGGCTCAGGGGAACTATAGATGTGGCGCCAGGACACATACAGGACTTCCACCCCAGTTCTGGTGGATCCAAGACCCCCAGGTCTTGCCAGGTAAGGTGGAAGTTCAGGCCCAGAAGGGACGGAGGAGATCTGGGCCCTTTCCCCTCCCACCTGGCCACCTGGCCCTTCCCAAGATACCTGGAAGAATCTGCCCTGGATCGTGCCCTTCTGTCGGGAGGCGGACCGACTGCAATGCCTGGGAACCTGCAGAAGAGAGAGGAACAGAACATTACGAGGGCCAAGATGTCATGCGGAAAACATACTGAAGCACATGGGCTGGGGAAGAGAGGAGGAACAGTGCTCATTCCAAACAGGAGCTTCATCCCCAGAAAACCAAACGGGACAAGAAGCAGGGGAACTGCAGCCGACTCAGTGAAGGCTCTTTTACACTTGTCCAAGTTGGTGGTCTCCTTCTCAAGCCAAAGGAGGCATGGAGAAAACAGGGGGCCCTGGCTTCCCAGTCCTGTTTGGCACCAGGCTAAGCATAACATCTATACGCTCTTTGCAGCCACACCACATCAGCGGATCTTTGGGACAGCTGCAAAAAAGGAATACATTTTCAATCACGCCTTTCCCTCCCATTTTCAGTATTGTTTTTTAAGTTTGTGCAACACTTCTATGTTTATATGTCAGCTGCTTTGACTGAAGCTTATCCAGAGCGTGGAAACAACGCTGTGAATCCTGTCAGAAGAACAAGGAGCATAACTGCGCATGTAGCTATCTCTGGTGCACTCTGAACACCTCCTAGTCAGGCACCAGTTGCAAAACTGAGCACGCAACTGATCGTCTGCGGGACAGTCCAAGGGAGGGAGGAAGCCACCGTGCAATGCCTTCACCACCACCGTTTTTTTGGCAACATGATTTTGGCCTACATTTGGGCGGGGTGGCAGCGCAATTGGATCATTCTAGTTTGATGCCAAGACAAAGACTCTGTCACAGCAGCCAGGTTTCCAATCCACAGCCAGAGGGCTACAACTGAACAAGCTCTCTCCGGAGTCTTCCCCTTATGGGTTGCTCTCAATTGGGGGGGGGGGGGACTGCAAGTCTTCACAACTATAGAAGCAGGCATGGGAAAGAGAAGTGGCCCCCAAACAACCAGCATCACTGGCCCTTTAAGGCTTCAAAAATCATGGTCAAATCCATGAACGTGGAAAGGAAGGGAACTAGCTATTCCGTGCTATCCTTTCAGAAGCAGGGTCTTAGGCCCCCTCAAAAGGTGTTTCTGCCAGAGGTCAACAGCTGTCTATTGCACCCACTAACAAACACCCGGGGCACATTCAAGGACAGATGGATGCAGGGGCAGAGCCGTCATCTGAACAAGAGGCCATCAGCATGTGTGAACTGTGGCCACATAGTCCCTGCGACAGCTATTCCGTGCTATCCTTTCAGAAGCAGGGTCTTAGGCCCCCTCAAAAGGTGTTTCTGCCAGAGGTCAACAGCTGTCTATTGCACCCACTAACAAACACCCGGGGCACATTCAAGGACAGATGGATGCAGGGGCAGAGCCGTCATCTGA